TATTGTCAGTGCTGCATTTCTCTGGAAAGTGGGGACCAGCAAGCTAGCGTTACTGTTGCTGTCAGCCATGGTAGCATTCACATTTCCAGCCCAAACGTAGCACCTCCTCTCTCACACAATAGGTTACCACGAGGGCTAGAAATGTGGGATTTGGGTTGAAGTTTTTCCAGCTGTCATTGGCCACATTTCCAGATGTTGTATATTGTCAGTGCTGCATTTCTCTGGAAAGTGGGGACCAGCAAGCTAGCGTTACTGTTGCTGTCAGCCATGGTAGCATTCACATTTCCAGCCCAAACGTAGCACCTCCTCTCTCACACAATAGGTTACCACGAGGGCTAGAAATGTGGGATTTGGGTTGAAGTTTTTCCAGCTGTCATTGGCCACATTTCCAGATGTTGTAAACTGAGCCATTTCCCTTAGCTTGAAAGGCAATAATCCTGCACCCACAGATGTGATAATGCATCTCCCTAGTCCTCTGATTCAAAGGGGCGAGGCTCACGTCCAGCTCTCGGCCGGGGGAGTGAGAAGGCCCAGGAGATATTACAGAAAGAGAACGAGGTTATTTTCTCCCTCACTCTAATCCTGACCATTGCTCTTGTCCTTCCGTCCACAGGCAGGACACGGTGTATGGAGGAAGAAACGCCCAACCGCACCGCCGTGGCCGAGTTTCTGCTGCTGGGATTCTCTGACGTGCGGGAGCTGCAAATTCTGCACTTTGTGCTGTTTCTGTTGATTTATCTGGCAGCCTTGGTGGGGAATCTTCTGATCATCTCGGCCGTAGCCCTCGACCATCATCTTCACGCCCCCATGTACTTCTTCCTGGGCAATCTGTCCCTCCTAGACATTGGCTCCATCTCTGTCCCTGTCCCCAAAGCCATGGTCAACTCCCTCCTGAACAGCCGCTCCATTTCCTACGCTGGCTGCGTCGCCCAAGTCTTTTTCTTTATGTACTTTGCTGTCACCGAGTATTCCCTACTCACCGTCATGGCGTACGACCGGTACGTGGCCATCTGCCAGCCCCTGCACTACGAGCAAGTGATGAGCAGGCGAGCATGTGTCCACATGGCTGCCAGCGCCTGGGTGAGCGTTTTTCTCTACACTGCCCTGCACACCGGGAACACGTTCATGATGTCCTTCTGCGGGGGCAACACGGTGGAGCAGTTCTTCTGTGAAATCCCCCAGTTGCTCAAGCTGGCCTGCGCCGGCTCCGACCTCCCTGAATTGGGGGTTATTGTCTTCAGCACATGTGTAGCCTTAGGTTGCTTTGTTTTCATCGTTGTGTCGTACGTGCAGATCTTCAGAGCGGTGCTGAGAATCCCCTCGGAGCAGGGCCGGCGCAAAGCCTTCTCCACCTGCCTCCCCCACCTCGCCGTGGTCTCCTTGTTCTTTTTCACGGTCGCCTTTGCCTACATGAAGCCCACCTCCGGCTCCACGTCGCATCTGGATCTCACGGTAGCCGTGCTCTACACCGCGGTGCCTCCGCTGGTGAATCCGGCCATCTACAGCATGAGGAACAAGGAGATCAAGGCAGCCCTCAGGAAACTGATAGTGGGCAGGTTCTGCACCAAGAATGCAACCCCCGTCTTTCGTCTCTGATCGCCGGTTCCTTCTCTCCTGCTTTGCGCCTACGTTCCAGTGAGGGCGCTGCTTCTCCTTGAGAGCAGGCTTTGAAATCCTCTTGTGCTGAACGAGGCATTTGCATTGGGAACAAAGCAGGCACAAGCCAATGGACTTACTGTATTTTTACACCGGCATAAAAATCCTAGAATCCTAGGGATGGAAGAGGTCTCAGGAGTCATTGAGCCCAGCCCCCTGCCCAAGGCAGGACCAATCCCAACTCCATCATCCCAGCCAGGGCTTGGTCATGCCGGGACTGAAACACCTCTAGGGACGGAGATTCCACCCCCCTTCCCCAGGGATCCCATCCCAGTGCTTCCCCACCCGCCTAGGGAAATAGTTTTTCCTAATCTCCAACCTAGACCTCCCCCACTGTAACTTGAGCCCACTGCTCCTTGTTCTGCCCCCACTGAGAACAGCCTCTCTCCAGCCTCTTTGAAACTCCCCTGCAGGAAGTTGGAGGCTGCTTTAAAATCTCCCCTCACCCTTCCTCAGACTAAACAAGCACAAATCCTTCAGCTGCTCCTCGTAGGTCATGTGCTCCATCCCCTGAATGATTTGTGTTGCCCTCCGCTGGACCCTCTCCAATGTGTTCACATCCGTTTTTCCTTCCATCCTGCCACTCACCATGACTCTAGCTCAGCACCTTGCACCCAGAATGAATATCCGTCATCAGGCTGGTGAGGTCTTTTGACCCTTTCTCTTGATGCGGGCAATGGGGCGGGGGGGGAGTTATAAACCCTATTTGTCACCCAAGCAAACAACTAACCAAAAGCCAAGGTGCCCCAGAGTGGGGTATGCTGCTGTCATGTTGTGAACTTCGTTGTAGTGCGTGTGGAAAGACAGACACAGTGACAGAGCAAGTCTCGGTACCAGCCTATTGTGTTTCGTGTTATTTGATCAGCTAGTCATGATGGTCTTAGCTCTTTTCTCTGTCTTGTGGCAGAGAGGGAAATGTTCGGTCCATGGGCGGGATGTGTCATATCGGTCATTTGGGAGGGCAATGTGGCCACGCCTTGATGTGGTTTTTTTCTGAGCGCGATGAAGGCTTGCATTCCACAATGATCAAGGGGTGGAAATTGCACATGTGTTGTCAGCTTTTTATTTCTTTCCTTACTAGAAGATTTGCCCGGCGTTGCTCGGATCCTCGGCTCAATTAATGTTTCTTATTTCTTATTTATTTCTTTATGTCAGCTCTTAATTTCTATCCTGCCAAGAACCTCTCTTCCCCCCACTCGTCTCCTTTCGCAAAGGAGCCATTGAACTGACCACCTGGGAGATGCCAAATACCTTTAAACACCCGGCCCTTGGGGACTGGCTCGTGGGAATCTCCCTGGGCCGCTGGGAGCTGACCCCTGCTTGCCTACATCCAGGGTCACACCCTAACAAGTGGGCTGCCATTCCCATGCCAATAGGATCACACTCCCTGCTCTCACCCCCCCAGGCATTGGAAAAGGTTCAGAAAAGGGCAACAAAAATGAGAAGGGGATTGGAACGGGTCCCATATAAAGAGAGATTAAAAAGTGCGTTTTTAGCTTAGAAAAGAGGAGAATAAAAGGGGATATGATAGAGGCCATAAAATCATGACAGGAGAGGAGAAAGTGAATAAGGAAAAGTTATTTACTTGTTTCCATAACTTAAGAACTAGGGGCCACCAAATGAAATTCATAGGTAGCAGGTTTAAAGCAAACAAAAGGAACTTTTTCTTCACACAGAGCACTGTCAACCTGTGGAACTCCTTGCCAGAGGATGTTGTGAAGATCAGCACTTGAACAGCGTTCAAACAAGAATTAGATAAATTCATGGAGGTTAGGTCCATCAATTGGTATTAGCCAGAATGGGTAGGAATGGTGTCCCTAGCCTCCGTAAGGGGCTGGAAATGGGTGACAGGAGAGGGATCACGTGATGGTTCCCTGTTGTGTTCACTCCCTCTGTGGCACCCAGCATTGGCCACTGTTGGCAGACAGGATACTGGGCTGGATGGACCTTTGGTCTGACTCAGTCTGACCGTTCTTATCAAATACAGGACAAACTGTTGCGAAATAGGGCAAACTCACCCCAAACGTGAGGTTATTCTTTCATGAGATTATAGTACAAAAGTAAATTTCTTTCTCACCACGTTGCTCACCAGAAAGTCAATAATGCCATCTTCATAGGCATGCCAGCCCTTGTCAGCCCACCCCGCCGCTGGACTCTGTGACGAGTGGTTATTGAAACCCAACATATGACATCTAGGGTCCTTCCAGTCTCACGAGATCAGCCCGTGAGTCAGGTTGATGTATAACTCAGCTCTCACCCAGGAATCATGGTGGTTCTAACCCCTTAGGGTATGTCAACTCGAATTAACGCTGTAGTGTAAACTGAATTCAAAATAGTTAATTCGAATTTGAATTAAAGCATCCACACAAAACCTATTTCAAGATAGCATTTTGCTATTCCGAAATAGCACGTCCACACTGAATAGACCCTGAACCGAAGTTACGGCTGGCCGGGGCCAGTGCCGGCAGGGCATCAGGTTGGGACTTAGCCTCAGGCAGCAGCCCCACACACTAACTGAGCTCTGTGCTTAAAGGGACCCTATGCACGCTGGCGCATCTCGTGGGGTCGTCACCATCAGTCTGGCTGCACTTGCTGCAGGGGTCCATTGGGGGGCTGTAAGGTCCAGGAGGCTCTGCAGGAGAGCGTCCACCCCGAGGAGCCCTCAGAGCCTCCCTGGTCCTCCCCACCAGGGGCCCGTGCCCCATTCCTCCCTCACATCCTTCCACTGACCCCTCCCTAGCCCCCTTCCTCATGTCAAATAAAAGACACGTATGTTCAAAAATAGAAACTGGGTTTATTGAACAAAACTGGGGGGGGAGATGGGGGAGAGAGAGGGTAGGAGGGGGAGGGGGAAACCTGGGAGAAGGGAGCTGGAAGGGGGAAGCAAGGGGAAGAAGAGGGAGGGGAAGCTCAGGACCCAGGATTGGGGGTCTCCCCGGACCAACCTGACTTTCATGCAAACCTGCTCCTGGGTTCGCATGTGGCCTTTGGTGCCAGGCTGGCAGCTCTCCCGCCCTACACGGGG